GTTAAAAAAATGAGTCGAGAAATGTGTTTTAATTTCCAAGATTCTAAATTCAATTTGATGTTAACACCTTGTTTAAAATATAAAACTGCAATGGCATCCTTGTAGATTTTATAATTATGTTTATTTTATAAAAAAAAAATATAGATGAGGTAAATGTAACATTTTTTTCCATCGGTACAACTGGAGTTGTAAAAATATTTCTAAAGAAGTAATTTGAGATTGAATTATTTTTTACCTTGGAGGCTTCTTCTTGTTCAATTTAGTTTCAACTTTTTGTTCTGATAACAATAGGTTTAAACACGCCTTCAGACTTCTATCCGTTTATTTTCTTAATGTGGCGTTTTCATTGTACAATAACCGTTTTCCATCATCAAACATTTAGCTTTTACATTGTTATATTATCAATATATCTCGTACATCAATAAATAGGTAGAAGAATGACGGCATGTTATTAAAATTATTCCTTTAAGTATATACACTTTTAATATAACTTGTGTCTAAGAGGAAGGATACAAACTATCGATTGTCACTAGGACTATCGGAAGTTTTAAACAATCGATATATCGATAGTACTATCGACTATAGCCCATCCCTAGTTTTTATTGCTGTTACCTGATCTAACCTACCTTGTGCAATTAAAAGAGTTATTTTACCAGTAATATATCATCTTTTCATGATTTTGTTTGAACATCTATTTTTAATTATCAACTTATTTTCGTCTATAAATAATACTAAAGAAATGCAAGTTCAATACATCCCTTGAATAAAAGGGCGGTTTAGGAAATAAAGTTGTTGTCTCACGACTTTTTTAAATATTTAGATTCGATAAAAAAAAAATAAAAAAATAATTACACTATCGGCTTCATTAGGTACACGTTGACATGGATGGAAATCGATACAAATCTCAATTTCGATAAAAATCGATTAGGGTTCACTTTGGAAATAAGTGACACTAATATTCAACTCCATCTAGTATTTTCATCTTTAGTTAAAATCTTCTTTACTGTCACTAATTATAAGTTATATTTTGCATATATTTATTTAGTAATTTAAGTTAAAATTATTCATATTAACACAGACTGCATGCAGTCTCTTAAATCCCTCCATTCATCTCACTTGTGTACTAATCTACATCACTGTTGTCACAACTGTTTTTGTTTCCGTAATGTATTACTTATAGTCCGTGGTAAAGACCCCTTTTTATCGAATTATTACCATCTGCCTGAAACTTCGTATAGTTTCATCTCATCGTAACCTACAACTATTTTATTCACGAAAACTCTTGGAATTGGGGCGTTTTCAATCTGGAGGGAGGTAAACTTTATTTATTTAATTAGGTAATAAAAACTCGTAAATACCCATTTCCTTTCTACTTGGATCGTAACATAATTTGATCACAAAATCGATAAAAAAGGCGGATTACAAAAATATTGGGCCATTTGCCCTATATAACCTCGTTATTTAGAAAATTAGGAGATGTAGGCCACGCCAAACGGCTCAATGTCCTTGAAGGCCACTTTTTTTTATCGATTTTGTGGTCAAATTCAATCCAAATAGAAAGTAAATCGATATTTACGAGTTTTTAGAACCTAATTAAATAGACAAAGTTTGTCCCCCTTTCAGATTGAGAACGTCCCAATTTCAAGAGTTTTCGTAAATAAAACAGTTGTAGGTTACGATGAGATGAAACTATTTACGAAGTTTCAGGCGGATGTTAATAATTCGATAAAAATTGTCTGTACCACGGACTATTATTAATTTTAAGGAAAGCAAATATTTATGTAGTTTTTAAGATTTATAGTTTATATGACAGTAGATAGTAGGCGAAGTTGCTTGTCTTTTGTTAATTGACGCACGCTAAAGCGACAGATGGTTAGTGACGACATTACAATGTGCATCATTCATGATTTCTTACTGCAAGTGAAAAAAAAGACATGGTGTATATTAACTGATTCTATCTTTATTACGGTTGTAAATCGTTATTACTAATAATAAAAAAAAAATTTTTTACAGAGCAATAGAGGAAAACGGGAAACATTATGCGCAGTAATGACATATCAATTTCTGATAACATGTCCTATGACGACTGAAGTACACAATATCTATCTAATATTACTCACAATGAAATATAAATTAAAATAATGTTTATAATTTTTATTTTCACTTCTCCTTTGTCTGAAAATAATTATTTCCGATAAGAAGAGGATGGTAAGTGAAAGTTGTGTGATGCGCGCACCACACCAGATTTTTACGTATTATTTCTTACCAAATTAAGACTGATAACAAAATTATCAGTAGTTTTGAATAACGATGAAGTTAAAGTAAGATCGGTGATAAATTTTCTTAAAGCTAATGATTTACAAACAAAATTTTACATAATGTTTTATTATTGAAATAATTGAAATGAAGATTAGATATGCGTCGGTGAACTCGGGGTTTTACGCCTCTAAGCCCTAAATAATAACAACAATTCCAGAAAATGTTAATAAAATGAAAATCAGATTAGTTTTGGAAAAGAGATAAAAAAAAAAAAAATAATAATGAAGATTGACTGGAAAATATTGTTAGACAGCTATAATATCAATTAATGAAAGGTTTAGGCTATGTTTTCCACTATTTCGACATTTTCAAAGCACCTGCAAGATTTAATTAGCAATTAGTTATATACAAATATATAAGTCTTACAGTTGGCTAGAAAATGGCAACATTGCCAGTGTAATAAGAAAAGATAAATAAATATGGTGGAACAAACATAGCCTAAATCTTTTATTATGGATATAATTTCACCTCAAACTAAAATATTTAGCTGTATATTGTTGAATTTTTCAAAGAAACACGATTATATTTCCATTTAATTACTGAGACGTCTTCCTGAATTCCGTTTTAATTTGTACGAGCTTTTACTGCGAAATGCCTAAGAAACGTATCCGTAGTTTTTTTTATAAACATTATAAGATCTATCATTTGGTTTATTTGACTTATAAAATTATTAATTTGAAAAAAAAAAAATAGAGGGAGTGTAAATAAAATGCTTCAACGACCTTCCGAAAAACAAAAAGTTCTGTTTTTTTTATTGTTTTTTTTTTTAGATCCTTGTAGAAAAGTAGAACTTGACACGGCCCTGGCTGTTGGGTTCTTGAAGGTCTTCTCCACCACAACCAGAACCTGAGACCACCGGACCGTACGATTTAGGGAAACCCAACCAGAAAATAGAATTAGCGATTTCTCCTGAGACCAATCTTCCTGAACCGAAAGCTTCGCGGTATGGAAGAGCAATGAATGGTCAAATTAAACCTCTTAGATACATCCCACTTCAGCACTCTTTAATTGCAACGTAAATTAAGTTAATGACCAACCTCATACACCCTTACACTATCAGTGGTTATTATCTACATCAAGACATGGTTAGTGTTGCCCAAAAGAGGTCTTGTCTCCACCACTTCCACTTTGCAAGACCAAGACCTGGAATGGTAAAAAAAATCGATTTTTTGAATAAAAATTAAGGTAAAATAGTTACTAATAATTGACAATCTTATTTACTATATGTAAATAATTGGCATAACCAATATACTTTTGCATTTAACTCCTCTAATTTTTCATTCGGGATTAGTTAGATTTCTCCTATCTAAAAAAACTACAGTAATATCTCTATAGAAATAAGCCAATAAGTAACTGCAAGACTTTTGCGAGACCCCACCAAGACTGAGACCATGACCAATACTGGGTTTGCAAGACCAAGACTCGTCTCATTTGGGCAACACTAGACATGGTAGTATGATATGGGAGTATAGATCTTAGTTACGGCTCTCAAGAGTGATAGATTTTGATGAATAGAGTTTCAAACAAAAGGGAATTTCATTGAAAAGTAACAAATTTCCATTTTGATACCCAATTTCAACAAAAACTATAACAACCATTAAAAACATAGGGAAGTTATAAAACTCAGAGAGCTTCAAATATCGACGAATCGAAACATTAAAAATTCTGTCTTAAATATTTAATCCTCAATCCCTGATAATCCTCCTAGGCGTCTGAAAAGGAGATGGCCTCGTGATCTTCTTACTTAAAATTATTTAGGGAGTGCTACCACTGGGTAGTATCTCTTCAAGCCTGTACATGCCATTATTTATAATTTGCGCATATTTACTAGTTGTATTTGCATACCATTGTAAATTTCATTAAATAAACAAAAAAAAATATTTAAAGTTTAAAAGGTACAGCTCTCGAGATATTTCTTTCCATAAGCATTAAATACTATGGTTATCATAAGATAAATATCACATTTTCAGGGTTAAAATTATTGCAATTTATTATTTATGCCAACGTTTCAACCCAAACATGTGGGTCATCTTCAGGGCGTGGTTTGAGCACTGAGGGTGTTCAAATTCAGAAACTAAAAATCTATTGAAAAGGTAAGTGGAGTAAAACTGTTCTATGATCCCTTAGGCAATACGGATAATATAATATGAAACTTTATGATATTTTTAATAAATAAAAAAATACATCCAATTATGGCTTCTACATACTCTCAATAAATGAGAGAACTACAAATAAAGTCCCACATTTCATGAAGAATTGAAGTTGCTTTATCCTTCCTACCGTCGTAAAATGCTGGAAAATAATACAGGCGTTTCTTTTAAACACCCCTCCTCTATATACCAAACTGTTCACGTTAACTGGATTATTCATTTGTATGAACGTAAACACTTATTAACCCTCTTCTAAACGATAATGATTGTTTAACTCTTCAGCATTTCACTGCTTAGAAATAATTCAGTCTTTGCTAAGATGTCAACGAGTGATTTTCGTAGAGGTTAGATACATCAATCAAGTATGGGACGAGAGCAGCATTAATAGCGCACTGTTCAACGGCGGTTCAAAATATTCTTAAAATTTTATGATTGTCAAATATTGTTATATTATAATGAGAAAGGTGCCAATATACTGATACATTGATATAATAATACAATTGCATCCTTTATATATTTCAATAACACCTGTCAAATCCTTGCAAAGATTGGATCGCATGACAAATGGTCAAGAGGATGTTGGTATGTTGGGAAGTGAAGGAGAGGATTGTGTTTCGGCCTACGTCGGAGGGTAGCTCCTTGGCAGAAGGTTGAATGAGTCACTAGTGGATGAACGTCCTCGATAAATTTACCGCCACTCCTTTCAGAGATCAAGTGAGCATTGTGTTGTCTCCTGCTCGCTCATAATCGAGTCGATCAAAAAGTTAATTAACGATTGTTTGTTTTTTGGATTAATTAACAATTCCAGGATGTACAAGATTCATAGAAAGAGGAAATGTTTGAAAAGTCATGGAAAATCGATCCTCTTATTATGCTAGCAAGAATACGAACATTTTATTTATATATATTTTGTATTTTCATTCGACCGTTCGTAAACAAATACTATTTTTATTTAGTAGTTTTTTTTTTATTGAATAAGAAATTGTTCAAAAACTAATTAAGATAATTAAATTCTAAGTACACTATCGTAAAGTAGACAAAATTTCCTTTTCCTAACATGTGCATCATTAATAATTATATGGAACAAATTCTGAAAATATCTATTTCTAAGTTATTCTCTGAAAAAAAAAAAAAAAAAAGTATGTGCTCTAGACCACAAGATAGAAACCTCAATAATAGCTCATTATAAAGAGGATGAAATGCTGAATAATTCTCTCGCTTACAGTATGCAGGTCCGATTTTTAGTTTCTGAGATATTTCAATCCATATGTTCTGTAAAACTCGTTATCATTTCGTTTTAGACACTTTTTTTTTCCTTTTTGTTCCCGCCCCTTTAAGATATATTTTTTTTTAATTTATTTTAAATGATATTTACAACTGTTTACAAAAAATACATCTAGTAAATTTGCACATTGGTATAAAGACATGGAACACATGTTGAGAAACTACCCATTGGTAGCACTCTAATAATATGTCTATATTAGAAGATCACGTGGCCATCTTCTTTTCAGACGCCTCGGAGGGTTATCAGGAATCGAATAGGAAGCAAGGTTAGAGACAAGAGGGTTGGGATGGTTATGAAGTTTATTATGGAAGGACAGATATCTGGATTGGGCCAAATCTGATACATAAGGAACATTAAGGTCATTATGGATAATTTTATTTGTAACAAAGTAAGGAGCATTGAGGATTTTACGAAGGATTTTGGATTGCAAGGACTGTATGCGAGAGGAATTTGAAGGCTTGGTGGAGCCCCTTAGCTCAACCCCGTAACCTTTAAGATATAATTTTCAATAATAGCTCATTACAAACAGGATGAAATTATTAATATTTCTCTCGCTTACAGTATGCAAGTCCAAATTAGTCGACTCCATCCGACTTTACCCGAGCTTCACACATCGGAGATCTAACGGCTCAGTCTAATTCACTCTCCACAAAAAAAAAAAAGTGGAAAACGCGCCAAAAAAATAAAAAATAAAATAAAAATACTTAAGCTCCTTAACATGTATAATTTTTCGACGAATGCAGCTGTAGAATTCTTGATGTGCTATTTTTGGTTCTGGGCGGAGTGGGTCAACGTTAAAAAAAGAGTGCAGAAGAGGGGATAATAAACGGAAGTAGAGAGTGTCATTGTCATTGTAATTGAGTTTAAATTACAGGTTGCGCCGGATTGAGGTGGCTATGGTTCCCAGCCTCCAGGATTGTAAACAATCAGCTGTTTTGTGGGTCAATTGAAAACATTACTTGAGTGAAACAAATTATGTTCTTTATTTTACGAAAAAAGTCAGGAGCATTCCTAGCTTTGGTTTTAGAAGTTAATGTTTGGTGTCTGTGAATTGGTTGTTCTTAGGTTGCTACCTCTTTGGAATTGTTATCTACTATATCTATATCTTCTATCGATAGTTTATCGATAGTATCGATGAAAAACTATCGTAACTTTCGGCCATTGACTTACAAAAGGATTTATCTTGGCTGTATTCTGTAGTTATTTACTTTAAAATGCTACATAAGCTTCATAACAACGATTAATATTTATGTTGGATACATCTTGAAGATTTATACTAATTTAGTTATTAATTAAAATTATTTAATAAAGAATTAAAACAAATATTGACGGGAAAATATATTTGTATAGACAAAATAAATATAGTTCATTTTCATGAAGTAAAGATAACTTTTTTTTTTCGTGGTGACAACTACAGGTATAAAAATATTTTTAAGAAAATTGTTGTATTTTTTTACGCTGAAGGCTTCTTTTAGATCAGTTTTTGTTTCAAATTTATAAATTGATAGGGGTAGTTTTAATAACACGCCATCAAAGTTCTATGCATTTATTTTTTTAATGTGATGTTTCCGAACAGTTTTCCGTTATCAAAAATTACACTTTTACGTTATTATATTATCATCACTATATATCTTACATCGAAAAATTGGTAAAATTATGAAGAAGTGTTATTAAAATTATTCTTTTAAGTATATAAAATTTTAAAATAATTCGTTTTTAAGTGGAGGATACGAACTATCGGTAGGTGTAAATTATCGATATACATATATAACTATCGACTATCACCCATCTCTAAGTTTTAATCTTGACTTATGTGTGTTTTCTTAGTATATTTCTTTACTAACTGATAAGTCCAACATAATGATACTTGACGTCATATGCTTATAATAAACTTTAAAATGCGTTATGATATCAGGTGTTGTTTTATTTGAATACTTTATTTTTTTATTTAGAAATATTACATTCTGTCACATCAAGGACATTTATAATAGTGTTCAGAGAGCACACACACACTCTATTTACAATAAGTTTGAATAATTAAAAGAAAAAAAAACAAAGATGTCTGAACTTTCTTCACACCATTCGGTTCAAAACTCTACGTTATATTTTTAAATTCAACTTCCAATGAAAATTCGAGATTCAAAGGTTAACAAATATTCATAAAGTTGGAGAATTCCTACGTTTGATTTTCAGTGAAAATTTCAATAATCGATGTAATGTTTTTAATATTTTTATTTTATGTCGTATTCTTTAAGAAGAAATGGATAGTTTATGCTCACATATATTATTACATAAGGCTCGAAATCGGTTTTGTACCAAATATAAGCTCCTGTCATGCTCAAATACCATGAATGGGGTACCGTTGGATTCAGAATTTCAGTGGGTTAGCGAATCGTATTCTCCACTTTTGTTCTTCTTCCTAAAATAAATAAAGTCGATACAAACATTTCTGCTTAAATATTGGAACGGTGGAAGATCGATACGGGACAAATTGGATCTTGAAGATTTTGATGTGTACAGAAAGACCCGGATAGTTCCTCTGGAACTGTCGGATCGTTTTGTAAGCCCCAAAACGTACTATTTTCGAGATAACACAAGGCATAGGATTCGCATCCATACAATCTTACATTAATTGTAGTACTGTCATTGAATACATGTCTCATTTCGTCGACTTGAGGTCTCTATGATCGAGAGAGGAGGAGTTTATATTATTTATCGATGTGTTTTTGATCGGCAAGCCATACCATATCATCGTTAGTTTTTCAGCAAATCTCAAGATTGGCCCACCAATTTCGGAGGCTTCCTACTCCTTCAGCCGGGCAAAATAGTCCAATCACCCCGAAAATTCAGGCAAACAAGTTATGAAAAAAACAAACTTTATTTGCGAATAACTAAAAAAGTACACACTTTTCCCTTGGTCATGCCCATGATTATATAAAAGATTACTTAATTCCCTACCAAAGGGAAAAAAATCATCAAAATCAGACAATTTTTAGCAAAGATACAGCTTACTGAAATTTGTAAACATGTTGGTTCCAAACAAATGAAGATTTTAATTAATTTTTGTTTCCTTTGTCGATTATATTTATCGATAAAGTAACATTTGATTTATTTTTCCTTTGGATACGTTGCATTATTTTCCTTTCTTATTAATTTGGCATTTGATATCAATATGCTGTGCGAATTTTCCTCACGGGGCTACTAGTTCTTTCTATATTTTAATATGTAACATTTTGGTTGCATTAATTGTTAAAATTTGAAAATGTCTGTTTCCACGGTAGAGAATCGATTGTATACTGTATCGAGTTGAAGAGCATACCTATCGATCCAAAAAAGTGAAGCATGGATAGCTCTGTCAGTTCCCTCTAACAAGTCATGGATGGCTCGACATCCAAGCTCTGATTTTTTTCTTCTTTTTACGATATTGTATTTTTTAATATAGAAAAAATAAAAAAACATTTCTTCTTCCACTCAAAAAACTCCCTAAACGCTTTTATAAAGAAATATTTTTTTTCCTTCTACCTCTTTTTCACGCTAGAATTGAAATCTGAAGTCAGAAATAGCCTTGGTCACGCATCAACTGTTTTGTTGTGGTTACAATGACAATGATATATTTGGACATTTTTTTTTTAACATGAATTATTATTTAATATTCGAAGGGTAAATTATCGCTAACCGATTTTAATTTAACACGCAAATTTCATGCCCTAGAGTGAAAGTAATGTGTTACTTTGGTTTAGTCGAATTTTCCAAAAAAGCCCTGAAAAACTTCTGTTAAGGCTGGTCTATTTACCTCGATACTCCTCAAACAAGTATACTGTGTAGTGTTACCCAAATGCAAGACCAAGACAAGTCTTTAAAATATAGTTAACAAAACACCGCTATTCAACTGCCATGGAAACTTATTATTATGAAAATTACTAATTTAAAGATAATTATTATAAAATATTCGTAGGTATAGCAGTTTATGTGATATTTGCTATTAAAAAAAAAAACCGAGAAATAACCATTTAGAGATTTTGTTTTAGCAACTTAGAAACGTTTGTTTGTTTCAATGTCTAAGCTCCAAACATCCAGGTCATATATCAACTATCGATCAAATAAATAATACTACTTTTATACTGTTCAGGTGGTTGGTACAAAAAGTAAGAATAAAAATAATTAAATAAAAGGATTGATAGAATGAAATAAATAAATAAAAATAACTTAATTAAATAAATAACTAAATAAATAAAGAAATAGCTATAACTAATAACTAAATAACATAATTAAATAAAAGAATTGATAGAATGAAATAAATAAATAAAAATAATAATAGACACTTATTGATAATAAGATAGAATAGATAAATAAATAAATTTAAAAAAAATAGAAATAAATGAGTTGAAATTAATAAAAAATTAACTATTAAAATAAAAAAAAAATAAAATGAAATAAAGTAAATAGACAAAAAAAATAAAAATAAATAAAAAATAATAATAAATCTGCAAAGGGTCATAATTTATAAACTTGTAATATATTTTGTTTAAGTCTTTCATTATCGAGGAACTTGATAACTTTGGTAACTATTTCTTCTTGATTTCCCAGGGATGCTGAAATATTGTAGGGTATTCCAAGATCTTTTAATCTTGCGGTGTAAAAAGGGCATTCTTCCAAAATATGTTTTATGGTTAATGACTGGTCATACTTTTGACATCTGGGGATAAGATCTTTTTTTATAAGGTGGAAGTGTGTCAGTCTAGTATGGACTTAGAAACGTAATGAAGAAGAGTAGAGTATGATGACATTTTTTAAAATTTCAATAAATAAATATATATATATATATATATATATATATATATATATATATGTTCATTGTATGTTTTGTGTTTATATTTCTGTATTTTACCACCAACAGCTTTCAGATAATCTAATTAAATATAATATTTGATTTCGTGAATATAACTGAATTCTATTCTCCGGACGAAATACAGTCTACTCTGGGAGTTAACAGTATTTCTCATGCAAACTGACTAAATTAAATATGTCTCACCATTTAAATATGCAGCGTTATATAAAAAAAAACAAACGGGAAAACCAGGAATTGGTGACCAACGAGAATAAGAATTATTAATTTTGAAAGATTCCGCAGTCGGTTGATGACGCTAGTTAACATTCAAGGAAATCAGCTAGCGATTAGAGGTGAACTTTAGAGTTAGTCACGAAAAATATATCATTTCCTACCTCATTAATTTATAGGCAAATTTACCTTGTTTTCAAACTTTCCTGTTGGGAATTAGATTTCTGAAACCTGAAGATTAAAAAACTTAAGAGAGTATTATTCTTTCTATTCTTCTGAAAGGATAAAAAACGTGCCTGCTAACCGTAAACGAAAAATAATTCCCTCAAGCAGGGTTGTTCAACCTTTTGCAACTTCAGAAACATAGTTTAATAGTCCTTGCATCGGGCATTGTGTGTTTTTCTTAGATTTTCATTGTTAACCATCACTATTTAAGAATTTCCGTATTTTTTAAATTTTAAGGTTTTATAGTTTTAGCCTTTGCTATATATATATATATATATATATATATATATATATATATATATATATATATATATATTTTTTTTTTTTTTTTTTTTTTTAAATTTTACTGTAGCGCCCTTCAATGCCAGTGAAATGGTTGAGGAAGAAGCACAGGGATCTCCTGAAACCTTGCTTTCCCTCCACGTGTGGGGGGATAAGTGTGGTTCGGAGTTCCTATGGCCGACTGTAAATAGTGTAATTAAGTATGCCTGCGACTAAGATGTTTATTTTCATTACTTTTTTTTTTTCTCACTATGATATTTTATATTGTTCTTTTGTAGCTTTATATTATGTGAAGTTAGCTTATTTTTTTTATTATTATTTTTTTTTTATTTGTAAATATGGTGTGTATGTGCTCTCAGAACTCTATTATAAATGTCCTTTATTGAGACAGATTGTAATATTTATCAATAAACAAAAAAAAAAAATGTTACTGTAGTCTATATATAGTATGAATGTGCATCACTTAGCTTTAGTACTCACTCAGTGCCCTTAAGTGTGGCAAAATGTATTATTTCTCAATAAAAAGATCTTATAAAAAAATGTATGAAAGAATAGAATAGATCCATTTTCCAGCTTCCAGGAACAATGGATTATGATGCTTGACTTATGAAATGAAAGGGAATTTCAAGGAAGAGTAAAGAATTTCTAACTTAAAAAAAAAATAATGTGTGTACAGGTATGTGTGAAAACATCAATAAGCCGGGATTAGTAATATGAAATATAAATTATAAATAATAGCTCATTACATAGAAGATGAAATGCTGAACATTTCCCTCGCTTACAGTATGCAGGTCCGATTTTTAGATCTAAGTTATTTTAATCATTATCGCGATAAAAGTTGTTATCTATATTAAAGGGTTTTATGAAAGATATGGATTAACATATCTCAGAAGCTAAAAATCGAACATGCACACTTTAAGTGAGAGAAATGTTCAGCAATTCATCCTTTTTTTAATGAGCTATTATTTATAATTTATATTCCATATTATTAATCTCGCCTTGTTGATGTTTTCACTTCTATCGTGTGGTCTAAAACACACCTCATTTTTTTTTTATACATAGATTTTTTAAGAGAAAGAGTTATAATGTTCTAGTTATTTATACTTGAAAAGCATCTATTAGATAGGCAATCTTTATTTTTATTCCTTTAGTCTAACGTTTCGGATTACTAACCCATTATCAAAGACATGGTTAATGTGATATTTGATATCTCATTGTTGAAAACTCACGTTAAAACATTTTTCCTTTGTTTAATAGATAATTTTAAATTACAATAAATTTCATCCCAATATCTGGGGTGGATGTTTTCTCACACTCTCTAAGGCATCTAAATTGAACGTTAATTGAGAACTACGGAATTGATTCTTTTCAATTATAAATACCAACAATAATAAAGTTCATACAATATTTATAGCTTAAGTTAAAAATTAAACATAATAATTGAAAAAAAATATGTATAATAATAAAAAAAACTATGTGTAATAATAAAAAAAAAAAACTATGAGTAATAATAAAAAAAACTATGTATAATAATAAAAAAAAAATGTTTAATAATAAAAAAAACTATGTATAATAATAATAAAAACTTTGTATAGTAATAAAAAAAACTTTGTATAGTAATAAAATAAAACTATGTATAGTAATAAAAAAACTATGTACATAGTTTTTTTATTATTATACATAGATTTTTTTTATTATTATTTAGTTATTATTTAGTTATTATTTTACTTTTGTTAATTTTATATTTTCTGTGTATATGGTGTGAATGTGTTCATTTATCACTATAATCATTGTCCATGAGACAGAATATTATATGTCTACATAAAAAAAAAATAATTGATAAAAAAAAATCATAATAGACAACCATAGTAACACACAAATGTTACACTTTAATATAATTATAACACTGGAATAAATGAAATAAAATAGGCATACATAAAATGACGTGCCGGTAAAAATAAAAGTGACGTACATCAAGTTTTGATATGTTTGAATGGCAAAGAGGTACAATCTAATATAACTTTTAATAAAAGTTAATATATAAAGAGATTTTTTAGACATATGCATTATCTATTCAGTACAGAAGTACATTATGTGTTTATACAACATTGTCATCAAAAAGTTATTTTGTTAAAATACTATCTAAATAATACCACTGTAATTGTCAGCATGCTCTAATAAATCAATCCAATAAATTAAAAACTTAGTATATATTATTGTTCTAGTGACTTCCAAAATTTTCATTTAAAATAAAACATTTATATGTTGTGAAGTTAGATTTGTTTTATTTTATTTTTGGACTAATGCCAGTTCTGTTCTAGCCTCGCATGATTTATTTTTTTAGACGTTATATTAAAAAAATTTTTTTTGAATTTATAATAAAATGCATTACTTACTATAAATGTATTACTTCCAGTAAAAATCAGCCTATTTACCTGTAACAAAAACAAATTTGCACATTAAATTTTGCTAACTTAAATATACATAATTTGTTTTTAAAAATGAATTAATATATCCACAATGATGGAATAATATAAATAAATTGTGATTTGATTGATGGGCAAGTTCCTAAACTCAGTGCTAATTCCATCGATGGAATCCAATAGTCGATTGAATACAACACAATACACACAGCATTTCAAAGAATTGATCAAAGCTTTTAAATGTAATTGTAACCAACATCAAACTGGTTGAACCTAAATTAATCCAGTGGAAAATAAATATAATTAATTGAAATATCTAAACTAGACGAGCAATAACGCACACATACATTGCTTTAGACTATAAACAAACTTTAAAATTTTTCTAGGCCACTTTTAATGTCATCAAATATCTATAAAAATGATGATATAATAATGAAGATATACATTTCTCATATTTTTAAAGTTGTTTTTGTCCTGCTAGATCTGCGTTGGTAGTACAAGAGTACAAGATAAAGATAAGACCAAAGAGAAGTCAGCCTACTCGTTAGTATTCCGATCATGCCTTCCCCCTAAGCCGCTAATAGGAGCATGTCTTTCCTTTAACACAAAAGGACTAAGGACTCTTACAACGATTCCAGGATACAATCGACCCGGTCCTGGGAGAACAAGGCGACCAGAACGGACAGGACAAAGAGCATTCTGTAGCTAACAGTATCCCCTGCCCATTGGCTAGCGAGCAATTGACCCAGTGAACCAGTGCGTGCCAGCGGGTCGATATGTCCGACGGGCTCCAGTCCTGACCTGGGGCAATGCCATTGTCGAGGAGGGATAGACCAGGACTTCAATGGCAGGAAGTCAGCCAGGTAATCCTGACGGTCAGTGAAAGTCTGAGGTACGCTTTCTGCACTGATTCGTTTAACAACCCAGTACGGTTCTACCTAAGATGCACGGTTTAAGCTTTATTTTAACAATGATAAAGTACCAATGACCGGGGAGGAGGTTCTTGATTATAAGTTTGGTTCATTAAATCCGAATGATAGTACAAATTTGTTATTAAAATAATTGTATTAATTTAATTATGTTAATAATTTTACATAATGATAATCAGGTAACATAATAATCAGTTAAAATAAGGTAAACAATTTCGTTCTAAAGGCGTCATTTTGAGATCGAATAATTTTAGAATATACTTGACCTCATGATAATGATAATATGAAATGAAAAAATATTATTTTATTTTGGAACTACTGTCCCCTAAGAATAATACATTTTTTTTATTGTTTATTGAGTATTAATACAGTCTGTCACACTGAAGGGCATTGGTACTAGGGATATAGTATTCATTCACACAATATGTACATATGAAAGGAAAATAAATAAAAATAACCAAGTAAGAAGAGAAAGAAAAAAAAAAAGAAAAAAGATATATATAAATAAAAACCTAAAGTAATATACAAGATAAGTAAAATAACAGATTAGCCGAGTGATTAAAATAACAACAAAATAAATAAAACGAATTCACACCTATGTACAATATTTAAATTGGCCCAGGGGACTCTGAATCAAACTTTGTCTCCCCATTGTAGAAGCTAAAGCAGGACACAAGGAGATCCCAGTGCTTCTCTCCCAGCCGCGTCACTGGTATAGTAAGCCAGTGGAGACTGATGGAGGGCACTAGAGTAACAGACGCTCAGGACATGAGTGAAGAATCTGGCCAGTGCCAGTACTCCAATATATATATTTTTAGAAAAGGTCGCGGGTCCACTGCTGTTTTAACCTCCGAGGAGGATTGTAGGGATGACTGGAGGTAGATAGAGACTGTGCTACAGGATTAGGATGATGAGTGAGAATAATAATAACAGAGTTACAAATTTGTGGGACTTAGTCTGATATAATAATTAAAATACAAATTAATTTATTGTTAATTGTTATAGAAATTGTGCAGTAGATTGAAATTAAACAGTTTACAGATGCAAGTAATTATACATGTTAGGGGAAGTTTGAATGTGGAGTATGTGGTGAAACAGGAGTTGTTTGAAGGAATTTGTGGATGAGGATTGACGTAAGGTAGGAAATGAGTTCCATAAGGAAGCAGCACGAATGAAGAAGGATTTGCTGAAAGAAAAAGTTTCATGGGAGGGGGTATATAAGTCTATAGGTTGAGATCTGGTATTGAGAGAATGGATAGAGGAACGTATAGTTATGAGTTCCAGGATATAGGGAGGGTTTTGGGTTCTGAAGACTTGGAAAACGAAAACACCAAGGAGGAATTGACGTCGGGAAGTAGGATAAAGCCACTTCAACTCGGTGTACCAGAATGAAAGGTGTGAATGCCTGTTTTTTAGTTTATCATTTGTTTAAAAAATTTATGACTACAATAATAACACAGTTTTTAAGAATTGAATTGAGCCAGCAGTTTGTACACTAGTAAGCAACGCGTTTTTAAAATGCTACAAAATTTATTGAAGGTGACAACATTTCGGCAATCGAGGTAGTAAATAAAGTTAATTTGCTGCTGTCCGAGATTTAACCTTTTCTTTATTAATATATTTTATTAATAACGATATCAGAGAGGAACTGAGCAATACCAATAAAACATGGTATTTTTCTCTTCGAAATGGAATCAGAACACTATTACTTTCACAAGGGTACTTATTTAATCTATATCTAGTGGACTTAATTTTATAAAGCTGTTTAAAATGATAACAAAAATTAGACTGTGTTTGAACGCACGCTCCTGCACGTGAAAGGACTAAAAGATTAACATCCACAGGAACTATTCAACAGGTGTCCTGGCTCAGGAATAAGGACACAGTGCACCTAACACAGGATGAACCTGACAAGAATAAAGATGAGATAGGATGCAGCAAGAGCATGTGCTCTGGAGTACGAGTACCTGTTGAATAAACTAATTTTTAACTCGTTTAATAGTGATACCAGTGTCCGCGGGCTGCTTTTAACTTGTACAGTCAGTGTTGTTATTCAAAAAGTTAAAAATTCTAATCAGTAATTAATTGGAAATAATTGTGTTTCTTTGAAAATAGTCATTTATTAATATCATGGCATTCTAAAAACGCTGCAAATTATTATACAATGATTTATTATTTCCAAACAATTTAACATCAAAATTAACATTACTTTCCATGTAACATTAAGGAAAATAAATAAAAAGGTATTCCTAACATTGGCCTAAATAATTTTCTTTTTTGACGACATTGCTAAAGTTGATGTGGAACTTTCAATTAATCAAAAAAAAAAAAAAAAAAACGTTGCAGATTATTTCACAATGATTTATTATTTCCAAACAATTATACATCTAAAGTAACATTACCTTCCGAGTTACAAAGAAAAAAAACAAAAGGTGATTCCAATTATTGGACTAAACTTTTTTTTTTAATCATTAGTAATATGCCCAAAAAATAAACATTACTTCAGTAACACATTAAAAAACCAAAACAAAGGATCTTTGCAGTAGAACATATAAAAAACATCTAGAGACCATATCTTTGAGCCTAATTGTCCGATTTTAACGTTTTTTTTTTTTAAATTTCGTAAACTTTAAAAAAACTATATCAACAAAAAAGTAAAAACTATTCGAGTTATTCGGAATTTAATTTTACCATCCCTCGTAACTTTTTTTCCAGCTTCTTTTCGCTGAAGTTTGTTATATAGATAAATTTAAAGGGCGTCGAGAAAATGACTTTAGTGAAGTTTCATTGAAATCTGTACATTCGTTTAGGAGCTACAGTATATAGCAACGCAGGTTTTTCGGCCGCCATTTTGAAAGTTAAAGGCGGAGAGTAATGTCGATGAAGGAGGATCATCTTCGGGTCTGATTTTATATCAAAATTTGAAAAAAAATCGGTCCAGTAGTTTCGGAGAAAATGCGCGGACGGCGGACGGACAAAAAAATTGTTATTCGTTTTTCGAATTATACGCGTCCTGAAGGTGAAACCTCAAATTTTGAGAGGAGTTTAAGTTTTTGAATTTTTCGGTCGATCACAATGGTTGATTAATGAAAATAATAAACCAAAAAGATATAAGCACTGCTGTAGAACGTATAAAACATATTTAGAAAACCATATCTTTGCTCCAAATTGTACGATTTTTAAATAACCAAATATAACATTCGCAAAAAAGTGTATATTTCTTGAGTTATTCTTCTTGAGTTTATTAAATGTAATTTTACCACCTCATAATTTTTTTCCAGTTTTTTTTTCGTTGAAGTATGTTATATAGACCAATTTAAAGGTCATCGAGGAGAAGAATTTAGCTAACTTTCTATGAAATTGGCACATTCGTTTAGGCGTCTATACCAACACAGGTTTTCCGGTCGCTATCTTGAAAGAAAAGATAATAAATAATAATAATAATATAGAGGTAAGAGGATCATCCTTGTGTGACCTGAGCCATATAATAGTTTTTGTCGAGTATAGTGTAGTATGCTTACACCCGATAGTAAGAATGAAGTATTATCCTGCTAAAAACAAACAAAAAAACAAAAACAAAAAAAAAACAAATTTACTTAATGGAGGTCCGTAATTAAGGAATAAATTAATCTCATTCAAAGTGTCTATTTTGGCAGCTGGTTTTAAATAAACATTGAACGCTTCATTCGTGACTATGTTTATCTTTTTTTTGTTCACTATTCTACTTAAGGAATAAATATGTATCTATATGTGGCAAGCATATATATACGACATATATGTATATAAAATTAGTTGTTGTCACTTAAACATCTCATATCAGGCCTCTAGAAGCGAAGTGACAAAATTTTTGAGTAAACGGTGGTTAAAGTTAAACCTTTACTGTTGTTCCAATCATTTTTCTAAAATAGCTGATTTTTTTTTTTCTATGAATGTCTATGAAATAAAGTTTCGCTATAAATTGAGCAGATAAAATACTATCTTTTATGGAGTAAAAACATTCTGGATATGCTATATAATATGCATTAATAAAAGCAAAAAAAATCCATCAAGAAAAAAAACTAAAATATATATCTATAAAAAAAAAATCAACTTGAAATGAGATTTTAGGAGAAATTAAAATTATATGAAAGTAATAAAAATATCAGGAGTGGGGTTAGCTCAGGGTACTGAGCTTCCAGTTCTAAACGTCCCAGGTTCGAATCCCGGCTCATGGCAGAAAATTAATCTATCTGTTTCATTGGCCGTGGGGCGATCCTGGGTCAGGATACCCTCCTGGGGCACACCCAGCCTCTATAAAGTGGGTACTCTTAACTAATATTTAATTAAGGGGGGAAACTTGCCGGTTGAGCGTAATCTCGGTCAAATCACCTCCTTGCACAACCGTTGACCTAGGAACATTGCATTCCCTGAATAGTACTGAACCCTTCATGGGTTATAGTGGCACAGGTAAAAAAATACTATCGCATATGCTCTTAAAAAATAAATATGAATTGATATATGCATTTGTTTTTCATTCGAGTAAAATCACCTCGAGTCGACTAATTTTTGTATTTAGATTCAAATATCTTAAAAAATCGCAGGTGCTTACTGTAAGCGAGTGAAATGTTCAGCATTGTATCCTCTTTGTAATAAACTATTATACAAAAGAAAACTTGGCAAATCAGCTGACGGCCTTATAAGGACTGCCTTACGGGACATTATGTCCGATAGCTTGCAGCGGTTGTCGTCCTTGCGAAAACTGTCCTCAATAGCCGACCGCCAGATGGCGTTACTGATTTCTGTTAGAAACTTTGATTTTAAAGTTATAGTCTATAATAATGCCTATTTGGACTTACGGGATCGAGCTTTGGGGCTCTACTAAACCATCAAATTCCTCTCGTATCCAATCCCTACAATCCAAAATCCTCCGTAAAATCCTTAATGCTCCCTACTTTGTCACAAATAAAATCATCCATAATGACCTTAATGTACCATATGTTTCCGATTTAGCTCAATCCAGATACCTGTCCTTTCATAATAAACTTCTGAACCATCCGAACCCTCTCGTTTCCAACCTTGCTTCCTCTTCTATTCCTAATAACCCTCCGAGGCGTCTAAAAAGAAGATGGCCTCGGTACCTTCTAATATAGAAATATAATTGGAGTGCTACCAATGGGTAGTTTCTCCTCATGTTGTACATGTCATATTACTTGTTCATATTTACTTGTTGTATTTATTATTAATTACAGTTGTAAATTTCGTTAATAATAAAAAAAAAAAAAAGTTATTGTCCGTGGTACAAACCCCTTTTTATCACATTATTGACATCCGCCTGAAACTTCGTAAACGGCTTCAACTCACCGTAACCTACAAATATTTTATTTACAAAATTCTGTACAGAACGTCTTTGTCGGTGCGATGGATAGTTTTCCTGATATAGGCAAAAACTGGAAAAACAGCAATAAACACGAGACAATTTTTTTTTTCTTCAAAATTAGCCATAGTTGAAGACGTTTTGTAAATAATTTTGTATAGAACTTGCTTTTCGGTACGATGGATGATTTTCCTGATATAAACAAAAACTGAAAATATAGCAATAAGCAAGAGGCAATTTTCTTTTTTTTTTTTTTTGCCCCAAAAATAGCTATAGTTGAGGACGAATATGTCGGAAACCAAGCGAGATAGCGAAAAAAGGCATATAACCAATCATATTGCAAATTTTATCAGTTTTAATTTTGTATAGATCGTCTTTGTCGGTGCGATGGATAGTTTTTCTGATATAAAAAAAACAACTCGAAAAACATTAATAAAAACAACGTATTTTTTTTTCTTCAAAATTAGCCATAATTGAGGACGGATATCTCGAAAACTAAGCGAGGTAGTGAAACAAGATATATAATCAAACATATTGCATATTTTATCAGCTTTAATTTTACATAGAGCTTCTTTATCATTGAGATAGATAGTTTCTGTGATATAAGCAAAAACTGGAAATAAAGCTATAAACACGAGATATATTTTTTTTCAAAGTAAGCCATAGTTGAAGACGGACATATCGGAAACTAAGCGAGATAGCGAAACAAGGTATATATATATCAATCATATTGAAAATTTTAGCAGCTTTAATTTTGCATAGAGCTTCTTTGTCGGTGCGAAGGATAGTTTTCATGATATAGTAAAAAACTGGAAAAACAGCAATAAAAACGAGGCATTTTTTTTTTCAAAATTAGCCACAGTTGAGGTCGGGTATATCGGAAACTAAGCGAAGTAGCGAAAAAAGGTTTTAATTAAAAAAATATTTTATTTACAAAAATTCTGTACAGACTGTCTTTGTCGGTGCGATGGATAGTTTTTCTGATGTAAGCAAAAACTCAAAAAACAGCAATAAACACTAGGCAATTTTTTTTTAATTAGCCATAGTTTAAGACGAATATCTCGAAAACTAAGACAGATAGCGAAATAAGATATTTAATCAATCATATTGCAAATTTTATCAACTTTAATTTTGTATATAACCTTTGTAAGTAACACGGGTAGTTTTGCTGATATAAGCAAAAACTGGAACACTGGCTGATATAAACATGTGAAAATATTTTGATTTTTTTTCACAATCAGCTATAGTTGAGGATGGATATCTCGGAATCTAAGCGAGGTAGCGAAACAAGATATATAATTAATCATATTACAAAGTTTATCAGCTTTAATTTTGTATAGAACGTCTTTGTCGGTGCAATGGATAGTTTTCCTGATATAAGCAAAAACTCCAAAAACAGCAATAAAAACAAGGCAATTATGTTTTTCTTCAAAATCAGCCATAGTTGAGGACGGATATCTCGGAATTAAGTAAGCAAGCGAAAAAAGGTATATAATCAATCATATTGCAAATTTTATCAGCTTTAATTTTGTATAGAACCTTTGTCAGTAACATGGGTAGTTTTAATGATATAAGCATCAATAATATTGCAAAT